TAGGTCGACCCTGCCAAATCAAGGGTACCCTCGTGTCCTGTGCCTCGCGACCCGTGCCTCCTGCATTCCTACGGCAATGTGGCCCTCGGAAGGGTCTTGTGTCCTCTCGCGTGTTCTGTCCAATCAAGGCCGACTGTAATTCAACGGAGTGCTTTCGAACAAGGGCTGGTCCTCGTCCGCGTAACGGTTGCAGTACTTTGCACTCGTGACCATGGGCTTCGAGGGTGTTTGAAGCGACGGCTTCATGGATCCGTGCAGCCCTGCGTGCTTGAATTTTCGCGTCTTTAACTTTACGCTGGTCGCTGAAAGTCCAATGAAGTCCGACTGTATTCCTCCCCCTCGCCCTCCTCCCCCGTCCTCGTTTTTGGGGTGTCCAGCGGCTTCTGTCTCTCGTGGCCCAGGGGCCGTTGGCTTCGGCTCTTCGCTGGGCTGCTCGCCGGGCTGCACCGCGCGGCGGTAGAACTTAGAATCTTCGCTCACAATCCTCCTCCTCTCCCTCCCCCTCCTCCTCGTCGTCCTCCTCCCTCCTCCTCCTCCTCCTCCTCCTCCTCCTCCTCCTCCTCCTCCTCCTCCTCCTCTTGATCCTCCTCCTGCTTTTCCTCTTCCTGCTCCTGCTGCTCCTCTTCCTCCTCAGCCTCCTCCTCCTCCTCCTCCTCCTCCTCCTCCCTTCTCCTCCTCCTCCTCTTACTTCTCCTCCTCCTCCTCTTCCTCCTCCTCGTCCTCTCTTCCTCCTCCTCCGCCTCTTCCTCCCCTCCCCTTCGTCCTCGTCATTCTCCTCCTCCCTCCTCCCTCCTTCTCCTCTCTCTCCTCCTCCTCTCTCTCTCCTCATCATCATCATCATCATCATCATCATCATCATCATCATAATCATTCATCATCATCATCATCATCATCATCATCATCATCATCAATCATCATCATCACATCAGCAGCAGCAGCAGCAGCAGCAGCAGCATCCTCATCCTCATCTCATCCTCATCCATCCTCATCCTCATCCTCATATCCTCATCCTCATCCTCATCCTCATCCTCATCCTCATCCTCATCCTCATCCTCATCCTTCTTCACCTCCTCCTCCTCCTCCTCCTCCATCTCCTCTTCCTCCTCCTCCTCCTCCTCCTCCTCCTCCTCCTCCTCCTCCTCCTCCTCTCTCGTCGCCGCGGCGCCTGCGCGTGCCCCCGCCGCTGCGGACCGAAGGACAAGCTCTTCAGCCTGGCGAGCGCCCACAAGAAGGCTGCCCAGTCCGTCTCTGAGGACCGGCATGCTCCGCCTCCTCCCGGCGCGCGGGGGGCGCCGCCCCCTCGCCCACCGTTCCAGCGGGGGTGGCTGGGAGGGAGGGAGGGGAGGTAGGGAGGGAGGGAGGGAGGAGCGCGAGAAGAGTGGCGGAGGCGGAGTTGGAGGAGGAGAAGGAGGAGGAGAAGGAGGATGAGGAGGAGGAGGAGGAGGAGGAGGAGGAGGAGGAGAAGGAGGAGGGGGTGGGAGGAGGAGGAGGATTTTGGCATCCACGCCCATGGAGCCCACGAAAGGGGGCAGATCGTGTCGAGGTCGGCTTCGACCCCCTTCCTCTTGTGGTCGGGATCCTTGCCCAACCTCGTCCACACTTCGCTGCGCATGGGCGTTCGATCTACGCACTTCTCTGAGAGCCTACGCATCTGAGCGCCCGTGGAAAACGCATTTGAATTCTGACAAACACAGGCGAAGCTCTGATCGTCGAAATCCACGACTAGGCATCGGTGACCAATCGCCCGCAACTCTGCGAGATCGATCCTGAGCTGGCGCGTGCACACTCCTGGGGACGGGCTTCTGGTTGCTCCTCGAATCGCGCAAGCAGTTGGGGCATTGCCAGAAGCGCCCGACCCAGTTCCACTCGTGGGAAAGAGAGGCATGCTTGGGGGGACGGGCAGCGGCAGCAAGCGGCTCGACACCCCTGAGGCTGGTCCTCGGCCAGCGGTTCAAAACCTCTGCAGCTAATCTGCAGACAGCTTCTGCCGTCCTGGTCGAAAGGTTCACATTAGCACGGTTTTCTTCTTCCATGTCAGCGTGCAACCTCGCTCCGGCTTGAGCCGCCTCGTCGGCAGCAGCGTTACCGATCATACGCCTGCGCTCGGCGTCAGGCCTGTCGGGGTCTTCGGTCCTGTGAGCCTTGGCCTCAACCGCGGGGCTTAGAAGCTTACTGGCGACAGCGTGGCTCTGCATGACGAGCCCGCTGTAGGGCCTGGCAGGGGACAGCTGGTCCGCCAGGCCCTTGCTAAGCTCTTGCACAACCGCCTTGCAGTCGCCGGAAAGCACAGACGGGCCAGACAGCAGGCTGGTCGCGCTCGCGGGCGCGGCGAATTCCGCAGCGACGCTCGCTTGCGGATAAAAACTGCCCAGGGCACCATGCATTCGAGCAAGGATCTGACCCGAAGGACCGAGACTCCACTCCCCAGCCAGAGCGGGAAAGATCCTTGATCGAAGGACGCATGCACGAGCCGCCCAGGGAAATGGCCCCTCGAAGCTCTCGAACTCCATCGAACGGAACTGCAAAACCCTTGGCTAGGATAAGCCTCGGGGAACACCTGGAAACGACCACCGTCCATCGCCTCAACTTGGCTCAACGGTCCAGGGGCCCAAACAGACGGTGCGGAAAGAGCCCCGACTCACAAACGAGTTTGAACCCAGGGCTGGGGTCAGCGGAGGTCTCATGGCGGATCCTAGACAGAAGCCTCTTTCCAACGATGTCGACTCTCTCTTCCTCGCACTCATATGCAAAATCGTGTCTCCGACCTGCCCGCATAAATATCACACACACACACACCCTCGACCTGATAGCCAAGGGCGGCAGCTCTGCTCAGAGGCCACGCCGCCTGGCACGTCAGGGCTCGGATAGCGCCGTCTTCTTTTCGGGAAAACGTGGAGGACGCCAGGGCCGAGTCGACCAGGTCCAGCCAGAAGCGGGTCCCGTCGATTTACTTGCTACCAGCTTCGGTCTCCAGGTCTCGAAACACGGCACTCCTCTAACATCTTTTCAAGAGGGCAGGGGAGGTGAGGAGGAGGGGAATCCCCACATCTCTGTCATCCGTCATCGTGAATGGGTCTCTCATAATTCAACCCAGCCTGCGAAGTGAGAGAAACACAGCGCCGATGGGTCCCCTGCTCGACATTCACGTCCTGGGAGCGTGTGTCCACACCGCGTTCCAAGCGTCTCGAATTTCTTGCCAGCTGAGGGTCCACGGCGATGATCGGTGCACTCGGTCCGTGCCACGCTGGGTCTTTCTCGAGACGGGAGGGGATGGACAGGGAGCGCCCCCCCCAAAGTTGGGGTCATCGTGGTCGCAGCGAGCCTACGGATCTTTAGCACCTCCCGTCGGACATGCCGTTCACCTCAGCACCGTTTTGCGCTCCCGCCAGGGGGCCAGCAACAAAAACCTTAGTGGCTCCCGAATCCAGAGTTCCACGATGGCGAACTAAGCGGCGGGTCCTCCGAGCCGCAGCAGTCATCCTAGTCTGCGCCTTAGCATTCTTTCCTCTAACACGCCTGGACGTCCCAGGAGTGAAGTCGATCCCGAGGTTCACCGTGGACTCCCTGTGGGGCCCCACGAGGTCCCCACAGGCCCTTTGGAGACGCCCCGAGGCAGCTTTGGAAGAGGTCGCCATGACCACCGTATCCATGGAACTCTTAGCCCTTATCATGGCGGTGATGGCGTTCTGCAGGGAGGAGGTTCCTTCCTTGAGGCAACTTGCCGGCCGTGCCGACAGAGTTCAAGCCCGACTCGTCGATGTAGACATCGAGCGTGGTAAAGAGGTCCCATGGCCACCGAGTCGAAGGCTTGGAGGCCGAAAACTTGAATCCTCGTGGTGGCGATCGAACATCCCGCGATCATCCCACGATTCCCAATTAAGGCGGGCGAACCGACCCCGCACAGATCCATGAACCGAGCCGATCGGTATCCAGCCAAACAAGCCGCCATCGGGACATGAGGGAAGTTCAGCCGACTACCCCGAGTCTCCAAGAGGGCCAGTGGGGATCTGCTCGTAGTATTTCAGCAGCTCGTAAAACATAGCTCCAGCGTGCTGACCTGAAGTGGTGCTCCGCTCAGCCGTGACCGACTGGCGCCAGACGGTATCGGAAGCCGACCGATGCTTCCCCGCGGCCCAGTGGGGCTTGTCAGGTTCGGCTTCCCAGGCGGCCGCAGCGGGCCTGCGAGTGCGGCCCCACATCCTAAAAGGGAGAGAGCCAACTCTGATCGGGCGGACGATGACTAGGGGTGTGTGGATATCATGGCGGGGGCAATGATATTTCCCCAGATTTCACGGCGCCTCTTCTTGTTTCAATACGTCCCTGGCCCCCCCGCTGGGCCGCTCCGATCGGGCCGAAACCACCCCGGAGAGAGCCAACTCCGATCCGCCCTGATCCTGAACGATGTCCGATCGGGCCATGATGAGAGCCCCGAACTGGCGGGGAAGCAGACCAGTCGACTCGATGAGGACAAGCAGCCTGCCCAGGCTGGCAGCGCCGCAGGCGGAAGCTGTCCAGGCCCGCGGCCGATCTGCGCGAGCATGGGCGTGGCGCAGCCCTGAACTGCCCAGCACAGATCAGTGGCAGAGGCTCGAGTTTCAAGCGACGTTGACGGGGAGGAACATCCACCGCGTGCCACAGCTTGCCACATCCATCGCCCTCCTGCTTCGAAAGGGCATGGGGGTCGCTGATTAAACTTCCAAGCCTGCAAAGGGTGTAAGTGGGTCTCCAGGCCGCGGGGTCAGCGGAAACTGGTGGGCCCGTCGGGCTCCCTGGTTGATCCCGTCCAGAAGCCAAGCTGCCCAGTCGGACCTCGTCGGTTTGAAAACAACTCCATACAGGAACTACATGCCTCCTGGAGTTGCGGAGGGGGAGGGGATGAGAGGGAGGGCGAGGAGAAGGAGAGGAGGAGAAGGCGGAGGAGGAGGAGGAGTGAGCAGGAGGAGGATGAGGAGGAGTGGCGGGGAGGAGGAGAGGCGGGTAGGAGGCGGAGGATGAAGAGG